AAAACACTTTACTTAACTCGCCCCTCCCTTCCTCCGAAAACACTTGTCTAATTCGCTCCCCTTTTCGAAAAACACCCGATTCTAACCGGAGGGTAGCATTCTGGACTTGGTGAAAATTCATCTAAGTCATTGTATGCGTTCGGACTTTGTTCGGATGAATGCACACGAGTGTTCGGGTCAGTTCGTATGCAGGCGTTCGGGCTTGTCACGATGCTCGTATGAACGTGTTTGGGCTTTGTTCAGATGACACATGGGATGAATTAAAAACGATCAAACACGTGGAACGTGGGGAGGATTACTCGGACTCGATAGAACTTCGGAAAACGTGCTGGAAGCATACGGATTCGTACCCGTTTGAGGAGTTTTCTCGGGAATATGCGGGAATCACTCGGTCACGTTTAGGTGAGTTTTCTCGGAAACGTGCTAGATCTCCTAGAATCGTTTGAATAGTTTTCTTGGGAATATGGGGAGATCCCCAGGAATATGCGGAATAAGGAAACATGAGAGATCTTCCGGACTCGATTCGAGAGTTTTCTCGGGATTCATGAAACGCGTGAGATATCCCGAACTCGTTTGAGAGCTTTATGGAGAATATGCGGGAATCGTGAGACGTGCGAGGATCACTCAGTCACTTATGGGGGAGTTTTCTTGAGAAACGTGCGGGAATCACACGGGTTCATACCCGTTTGAGGAGTTTTCTCGGGAATATGCAAAGATCTCCGGGAATTGCGGGAATGTGAAATCTCTCGAACTCGTGTCGGGAGCTTTCTGAGGAATATGGGAGATCCCCGAGAACGCGCGAAAATCGAGAAATGTGCGGCTATATTCTCATGTGTGGGAAAAATCGAAAAAATAAAATCCATCGATCAATTTCATGTCCAAATGAAATGAAATTGCTACCACGACATAAATATGAGATGTGGAAACTACCCGAGAAGTTTCACATAAACCAAAATTCGTATAGCATTTTTCGAAATTATCGATGATCGGAGAAATTTATCAGATGAACGGAGTTTTTCGAACATGTGCGGGGTTTCTCGGACCTATGCGCAGTTTCTCGGACTGTATGGACGCAGTCTCTCGGACCTGTGCGGAGTTTCTCGGACCAACGCGCACCCAAATGTGCGGAAAAATTCCCACTGTCCCTGTCTACTATCCAGCGAAACCACAGCCAAGGGAACGGGCTTGGCAGAATCAGCGGGGAAAGAAGACCCTGTTGAGCTTGACTCTAGTCCGACTTTGTGAAATGACTTGAGAGGTGTAGGATAAGTGGGAGCTTCGGCGCAAGTGAAATACCACTACTTTTAACGTTATTTTACTTACTCCGTGAGTCGGAGGCGGGGCACTGCCCCTCTTTTTGGACCCAAGGTCCGCTTTTGCGGGCCGATCCGGGCGGAGGACATTGTTTGGGAATGCAGCCCCAATCGGGCGGTAAATTCCGTACTTGTTTGTGGGGGGGTTGGGGGGTTGTGTTTTTGGTAGGTGGTTTCTTTTCCCAACGGCATGAAATTTCTACCACAACATAAATATGAGATGTAGAGGCTTCCCAAGAAGTTTCGCTGAAAAACTCATTCGTATGTAATTATTATGAATTATCGACGATATTCGGTAAAATATTCGGGAAAAATAGTTCCTATGCTCGGAAAATTATGAAACTTTGCCACAAATAAGATCATATCATCATAGTGTTGTGTACAAAAAATCAGATCAAAATTCCCAGCCGATTTTTCTCTAGACGCGTACTTCTGCTCAAACATTTCAATGTTTCCTCGTGCCATAAGTGTTTTGGCAAATAAACCTATCAAATGTCACGGGCCTAAGGTGAAACTAGGCTGAACCGTGAGGCAATTGGGCCTGAGGAGAAGATGGGAGGCAGTCCGGACGTGCTAGGGACGTGTAGGAGTGCCGAGGAGCCCAACTAAGCCTTCTCAAGGACTAGGGTCCGAGAGAATAAGGGGGAAGTGTGGTGGTTGAGGTGAGATCCGAGAGAAGAGAGGGAGAAGAACGCCGACGGTACGGCGGGGTGTTTTATTAATAATCAAAAAGGTACAAGGAGGATCGTCGGCCCTTAACAAGCCAGGGTCCAGCGGGAGGAGAAGGGAAGAAGGCCGACGATGTAAGAACGGGGTTCGGGAGCTAAGGAGCAGATTTGGGGGTTTGCGAGCTTAAGTTTCCCCCTTGTGGCCGGCGCCCCTTTATAGGTCTTACCACAAAACCACAAAAAGGAAACTTTACATTTCTCACTTCCCATATCTTCCCTTTTGATCCCTACTTGCCTAAACCGAAAAGGAAGAGTCTAGAACATGCCTAAAACAAAAAGGAAACTCGCCTAAGCTGTCTAATGGGCCTAGGGCCGAGATTTGGCCATGAGACAAAGCCTCGGACACGTCCATGAACTTGTCATGGACCATGGCCGAGGTTTTGGGCCAATCTCGGTCACGGGCTGTCCTAAACTGGTCTGGGCTGGTACGCGACTTGGGAGAGGAGCTCTGGGGTGTCAGGAAGTCGGGCTTGGGTGGTCCATGGTCGTCCGAGGTCCGTGGCCTGAGATGTCCTGTGCTGGAGCTTCTCGGGGTCTCGTGCGGAGCTTCTCGGGCTGGCTCGGCAGAGTCTGTCGGGCTGGGCCGAGGTCTCCTGGACTGGTGCGGACTTTCTCGGACGCGTGCGAGGGAGGCTTCCGAGCCGTGCGAGGTTTGCTGGGCTGGCCTAGACTTCCTCGGACGCGTGCGATAGGCTTTCCCGGGCTGGTGCGAAGTTTCTCGGACGCGTGCGGGCTTCCTCGATCTTCCGACCATCCGTGACTTAGCCTGCACAAACCAATGAACGCGAAAAAAGAAAGGGAAAAGGGAAATGAAAAATTACCCATTTTTCCTCCTGACATGCTCCCCCACTCAAGCTCGGGACGTCCTCGTCACGTACTTAGCCCCTTGGGAAGCTAGTTATGGGTGGCATTGAATTCACGGACCTTGTCCGCGAATTGCCACAGATCGTCTTCGCGTTCCCACGAATTTTGAGAGTCGGGGAGTCCTTTCCACTTGATGTAGTACTCTCGGTACTTGGCCCCTTGCTTGCTGATTGGCCGGCGGTCGAGGATCATCTCGGCCTCCTTTGTGTATTGGGCCGTGGAAGGAATGGGAGCTCTCTTGGACCTGTTTCTATCAACATCCGAAGGGTCAGGTTTATAAGGCTTTAGAAGACTTACGTGGAACACGGGGTGAATCCTGATCCTTTCCGGAAGTTGTAGTTTGTAGGCCATCTTTCCGATCCTCTCAACGATCGGATATGGCCCGTCAAACTTGCGAGTCAAGCCTCGGTGAAGAGTCCGCATCTTGAGGAAATGGTGTGGGATGATCTTCACCATGACTTGGTCCCCTACGTTGTACTCCATGGGTCTCCGTTTCTTGTCCGCCCACTTCTTCATGCGTGCGGCGGCCTTGTGCAACCAAATCCAGGTTTGGTCGGTCTCCTCTTGCCACTCACGTGCAAAGGTATGAGCTGTTGGGCTCGGGCCATCATAGGTGAGGGAGAGACCACTCGGAGTTGTAGGTTGTCGTCCCATCACTATCTCGAACGGTGATTTGCCGGTCGACTCGCTCTTGTGGAGATTGTGGGAGAATTGCGCCATGTCCAAGTGTCGGGACCAATCCTCTTGGTGGGCTGAGACATAGTGTCGGAGGTAGAGCTCCAAGAGTGAGTTGATCCTTTCGGTTTGTCCGTCGGTTTCCGGGTGGAAGGCCGTGGAGAACCGAAGTTGTGTGCCCATGAGTTTGAACAATTCCGTCCAAAATTTGCTTGTGAATCGTCCGTCTCGATCGCTAATGATGGACCGAGGCAATCCCCAAAGCTTGACCACGTGCTTGAAGAAGGCTTGGGCTACTTCGTCCGCGGGACATTGTTTAGAGAGGGGGATGAAGGTCCCGTACTTGCTAAATCTGTCCACAACTACAAAGATAGCTCCAAAACCATTAGAGTTAGGTAAAGTGGTAATGAAATCCATGGATACCGATTGCCACGGGTGGTCCGCAATGGGGAGAGGTTTGAGAAGTCCTGCAGGGGGCCTTTGCTCGATCTTGTCTTGTTGGCACACAAGACACGTCTCGACATAGGCTTCTATGTCCCTCTTCATCTTCGGCCAATAGTAATGCTCGGTTACTAAGGCTAGAGTCCGCTTTTCTCCGGGGTGTCCGGCCCACTTTGAGTCGTGGGACTCCTTGAGAATTTCCCGTCTAAGCTCCTCACTCTTTGGTACGTAAATCCTGCGTCCACGAGAATAAACAATACCATCTCTTTCCCAAAACTTACGGGTTTGGTGTTGTCGGACCAGTTGGAGGAGATGGTTGGCCGCGGGATCGTGGGTCATGGCCTGTCGGATCCGAGTTGTAAAGTCGGTCCTAGGCTCACTTCCCGTGAGTGTGGCCAACTCAATCTTGCGGGAGAGCGCGTCGGCGACTACGTTTGCTTTGCCCGGCTTGTACTCCAAGGTATAGTCGAACTCCGCAAGGAAGTCTTGCCAACGAGCTTGCTTGGGGCTAAGCTTCTTCTGGGTTTGGAAGTAGCTCGTTGCCACATTGTCGGTCTTGATCACAAAGTTTGACCCGAGAAGGTAGTGTCTCCATGTTCGGAGGCAATGGATGATCGCCGTCATCTCTTTCTCTTGAACCGTGTATCTCTTCTCGGCGTCATTCAATTTCCGGCTCTCGTATGCTATGGGATGTCCCTCCTTCTTCTCGGCGTCATTCAATTTCCTGCTCTCGTATGCTATGGGATGTCCCTCCTGCATAAGAACACCACCTATTGCAAAATCGGAGGCATCGGAATGTACCTCGAATGGTTTGCCGATGTCGGGCAAAACCATGATGGGCTCCTCGGACACAAGGGTCCGGAGCTTGTCGAATGCGGCCTGGCACTTGTCCGTCCACTGCCACTTGCGATCTTTCTTCAACATATCCGAAAGAGGGGCTGCGATCGAGGAGTAACCGAGGATAAACCTTCGGTAATAGTTAACCAATCCTAGGAAGGACCGTAACTGTGGGAGAGTCCTCGGAACAGCCCACTCTTGGATCGACTTGATCTTCTTCGGATCCATCAAGAGCCGTCCCTCCTTGACGTAGTGGCCTAGGACGTCCTTCCTTGACGTAGTGGCCTAGGAACTCCACCTCGGTTTGGGCGAAGCTGCACTTTTCGAGCTTGATGTATAGCTCGTTGTCTCGGAGGACGTTCAAGACAGTCCTTAGATGACCTACATGCTCACTCAAGTCTCGGCTATATACAACAATATCATCCAAGTAGACCACAACAAATTTGTCCAAATAATCATGGAATATTTGGTTCATCATGGTGCAAAATGTAGCTGGGGCATTGGTGAGACCAAAGGGCATTACCTTGAATTCGAATGACCCATACCTTGTTATACACGCGGTCTTGGGTTCGTCTCCTTCGGCAACGCGCACTTGGTAATATCCCGACCTCAAGTCGAGCTTAGAGAATACTCGTGCATCCTTGAGCTGATCAAACAAGTCGGCTATTAGTGGAATAGGGTATTTATTCTTGACCGTTACCTTGTTCAATGCTCGGTAGTCGATGCACATCCTTAGGGATCCGTCCTTCTTCTTTTGGAATAGAACGGGAGCGCCGTATGGTGCCTTTGAGGGCTGAATGTAACCGGCCTCGAGTAGGTCTTCGATTTGCCTCTTGAGCTCGGCCAATTCGGGAGGAGCCATGCGATAGGGGGGCATTGCTGGTGGCTTGGCTCCGGGGATCAGCTCAATAGCGTGATCTATGCCACGTCTCGGGGGAAGCCTCTTGGGGAGTTCCTCGGGCATGACATCTGAAAATTCATTCAAGACACGTCTTACCTCGGCCGGGATCGTGGGTTGATCCGGCTTATCCGTCTCATCTCCTTGGTTGAGCTCTCGGACAGTGGCCAAGTAGGACTCGGAGTTCTTGACTCCTCGTTTGAACTGCATGGCCGTGAGGGTAGAAGACGCGGTAGGTGTGGCTTTGAGGGGCACCACGGTTGGCTTGTCTTTGTCGATGATTACTAGAGTCGTCGTGGATGCGGGGATGAATGTGCTCACGGATCGGAAGAACGTGAGTCCTAACA